CTATGATAATAAGATTTTTGATAAGCCCATAATGAGAAGCCCATATTTTTCAGGCCCATTAGAAATACTCGTCAGTCGTCACTAACACCAACCTGACCAAGAGAGCTGCGGCTAGGTCAATCAATCTCCGACGATGGCGACGAGCAGAGTCTACGTTCACTACCACCACGCCGATGCCTGTAGTAAAGCTCGCTGGAACGCCAGGTTTGTGACAAGTTTTGGTTATTATATCGATTTTGTTCTTGTTCGCAATTAAGAAAGATAGTGATCACAGAAAAAAAACTTCTTGAGGATCAGTGTACAAGTTCATTGAACTGGGGAACACATTACAACTCAAAAGCTCAATTTTTTTCATGTGGGATTTTTTTTGGGCAGAGAGACCTTCAAGTTTATGTATGATAGGCCTTGGAAGCATGTCATTGATTTCTACTCAAATGTAGTGGAAGGGAAACTATCAGTGCTGAATTTGTTTGAGCCCAAAGTTAGTATTTTTAGCACCAGTTGTGTCAAGATGGATTGTATCATCCTCCTAAGTTAAAATGATTATCAAATTTAAGTATCTGTTTCATTCTTCAGAAATCTTTGTTGGTCAATGATGATGGGAAAACCGAAAGGAAGCCTATTGAAACTGAATTGGAGACTTGTACTCGGAAAGACGGGAGGATGGGGAGGTGGGAAAGAGTAAATTTCAAGATAGTTCTTTCTTACAATGGGTCTTCTTTTGATGGATGGCAGAAACAACCTGACCTACACACGGTTCAGAGGTAAGAATATCTTCCTTTTTAGTTTTTTTTAAAATTCATCAAAAACTTTGCGAATCTTCCTGTATTAGTTACTTTGAGCTGAGCATAATCCTAGGATTCCTTCAAGACCTTTTTTTTTCTTCCAGACTTTGTTTCCTTTCAGCATCTGCTGTTTTGATCAGAACCGTTTATAGCGAAAAAGGACGAAAGATTTTTTTTCAACATATGGCATTTGAAAAATGAGCTTATCATCTCAATCTGAACATCTATGCAGAGAAATCTAGTGCCAGTCATTCTTTAATGTTTTATTGGTTACAGCCAGTTAAGATCTCTAAAACAAATATATGATTCAATAAATTTTAGAAGCACAAGCACCAAAAATTTCTTAGTTTTAAAGACTATTCATCCCTCTTGTACTTGCACATTTTCCTGAAAATGATTGTTCTAGCGTTTTGTGGTTTTTAAAGTGTAGTAGAGAAGTCTCTCGGGGGATTTGTTGATGATAGGAAAGCCCAACTGCTCAAGAAAAAATGTAAACCATTAGAAGGCCGTGTACTTGTTGCTGGAAGAACCGACAAAGGAGTGTCTGCTCTTCATCAAGTTTGTTCTTTCTGTACGTGAAACTCATATTTCCTAACAATCTAGTATAATAGCTGTTATGTCCTCCCCAAGTTAACCAATAAATAAGAGAAAAACATTTGCAGCATCACTAGTTCACTACTCATATTGTTTATTCGTGAGCGTAGGTTTAAATCATTACGAGATTGTAGTTTTTTCTATAGCATAGCTTGGACCTGGTAAAGGTCATGCATTTTCCAGCTAGTCAACGTGATTAATTTTAAGATTGTCTATTTTTAGATACCTGGAGAAAAGACATTGAACCCGTTGAAATTGAAGATGCTATCAATAAAGATGCATCTGGGAAACTTAGGGTTGTGTCAATCTCTAAGGTATACTTTGCATTCAGAATGCTTTTGTTTCCCTTTCCAAGTTTTCTGGCAAAATTTGATAAATATATGTGTACGGACACAAGAATGTTTTAATTACATTTTTCGGAATGATGGAACTAAAACTGCAGGTTTCCAGAGCATTTCACCCAAATTTCTCTGCAAAATGGAGGCGCTACTTGTATATCTTTCCCTTGGATAATGCTGAGCCATTGTGCGAGAATGGCAAGAATCATGAAAACTTAATCTTTGATGAGAACCTTGAAAAGCAAACAGAGGGGCTCTTAAGTGAAGAGAATACAGGGGTAATATTGAGTGAGGATGATGAGCTTGAAATTGAGGAAACCGGAAAGGTATATGGACTTGAAGTAGTAGAAAAACCAAATGACTTCAGTGTAAGCAAGGTTGATCAACTTTTACAGCAGCTTCAAGGAAAAGTATTATCCTACAAGATGTTTGCGCGTGATACAAAAGCTGCAAGAAACGAGTAAGAGCTCACACTAGGTCATCGGTATTGCTTGTTAGCATCACACCAGTTCTAGACCACTTTCTCTTACCAGCATGGAAAATACTCTTAGTATTGTTTATTTGAAATGGTGAATTTGTAGTCTAATTGGTTTCCTACTTGGGTTATCGTGACATTGCAGAGGTCCACCTACAGAATGTCTCATGTACCATGCACGGGCAGCCGAAATTAGACTGGCCTGTTCTGTAAGTGTTCATATTCTCTCTTTAGATGTCATTTATTTACTTCGCAACAGATCACTCTTATGCCACTTGTCGAGTTAAGGTACTTAACGTCATAGTTTCTACATAAGCATTCAAGACTTAACAAAAAGCTCGTATTCTTAAGCTGTAGATATGATACTAGCTGTTCAACATTTGTGTGGAGTAAGATTTTGGTCCATCAATAGTACTTGTAATGCTGACGTCTGTAGGATAAACGATATGAGACTTGACAGAATCAGAAATGTATATTGCCTATTGGTTTTCGATTGAACCTTCTTGCGAGTTCTGGTTCATTGTAAGGTGAAATTAAACAATACAATATGCTCCCATGAAACTAAGAGTGGCGTCTTTTGATGAATTGTATCAGGAGTCTGTGGAAGGAAGAAGGGTGATGTGCGTTGAGCTTGTTGCTAACAGATTTCTCCGCAAGGTATTTACTTTAAACCTAATATTAGCTTCCAATACACTTTTGTAGAATCTTGGCTTCTATGTGAAAAAGGTTTATTTTAAACTTTCAACACGTAAAAAAATCACACTGTATACAACAGCATCCCTGATCTCATCCTTAAAGAGTCGTATTTTACTGTCAAAATTTTCTTTCCTTCACATAGTTTTGTTTTTGCCTCGAGTGTTCTTCTGTTACCCTCCTCGTCCAATTATCTTCATTGTTGGCATTGCCTAAAATATCTACTAATACCGTCTCTTTATAACTGTCAGATGGTTCGAGTACTTGTGGCAACATCAATCCGAGAAGCTGCTGCAGGTGCGGAAGACGATGCATTGTTAAAACTGCTAGAAGCTTCATCCAGACGAGCCACGGCTCCTCCAGCTCCATCCGAAGGTCTTTGTCTATTCGACGTTGGTTATGCTGACTTTGACCCTCAAACTTCTCTGATTCACTGAGAATGACATGTAATACATTTTACTACCACATATTGGACAAAATCTGCCTGGGGTTTAGATTGGAAGTAGTTGCCTTGTCGAATACAAAAACTTTATTTGGTATCTCATAACTAATGATTGCAAATATAGTTTTGTTTGTCCAAAGGCTCGACAATAGTTTGTGGTTAATAAGCGGTTCATGTGAATTGAGTAGGTATTGCAAGTTCTATTTATATTCCAATATGTGATGAATATGTGAAGAAATCATGTTTGTTGCAAATTAGATGATAGACATATTATCATCTAATTTCACATATCCATTACTAAATCCCTAATCGTGGTACTATGAAACACGATTTATAGTTGATTAAACAGAATTTAACACTGTGATTTGTGTATGTTGAGTTAGAATTTGATAGTTTTGTGACTTTTGTGTTATATACGAATGAATACAAAGTTTTTTTATGCGTGAAAACAATTACAGTAAAGATTGCAATGAGAAAAATATAAATGGGCTGTTAATATTTTTAAGATGGAGATAACGGCGTTAGTTAAAACTCCGTTAAAAACTGTTATTTCAAGCAAAAACCCTATCGAAGGAATTTGCAGTGTGTGTGTTTCCCTTTCAGCGAAGAGAGTACCCAAAAGGAGGAAGAAGGTCAAAATTTCATC